TTTGAATATATGCTTGTAATATTGTCTAAAAATATTAGTAATATTTACAAAAATATAACAGGTGTTCCAATGTCATTTACCGTATTCGTATAAATAGTAAAATAATATTAACAAGGTATTATTATTTTATTAATATTATAAAGACATTATTTATTATTTAAAAAATTGAATAAATTAAATATATAATTATAAAATTTATTATTCACATCAAAGTTCATTGTACTGCCATGGAACAGATCCTTGAGGGGATGTAAAATAGGTTGCAAAATAGTTCCGTATATTGGCAGCAGATATTGTTCTGTCGTGGGGTTCAATATTAACACTGGGCACTACTGGGCAGTGGGCATTCATAAGCTGTGTCTGTAAAGTTAATTCCATCTCTTTTGCGTACGAAATTATGGAGCACACAACATGATTTGATTATCGTGTCACAGAAATCGATGCTAACATCAATAGGTCTATGGAAAATACGCCATTTGTTTGCTAATATGCCAAATGTGCATTCAACCATTCGACGAGCTGTTGTTTGCCTTCGGTTGTAAATTTTTTTTATTGTGGTAAGCGTTTTTTTTCCAAATGGACGCAAAATGTGTCTCGATAAACCAAAAGCTTCATCAGCAACCAAACAAAAAGGCATTGGTTTACCTTCTGGATCGTTGGGCAATGTTCGGTCTTTTGGTATATTCAAAAGGTTTTGTCGTAACTTTATACCCATATTTGAATTATTAAAGACTGAAGAATCACCTGCTGCTCCATTTGCTCCAACATCTATGTAGACAAATTGATAATCATCATCAACCCATGCCATCAGCACTACAGAAAAGAATTTTTTATAATTAAAAAATTCTGAGCCAGTCATTTGTGGTTGGATTATTCTGATATGTTTGCCGTCTATAGCACCAATGATGTTAGGAAAATGGGTATTTTTATTAAATTGTTCAGATATGTGTAACCACCCTTCTTCGCTTATCTCTGGCATAACAATGGGCTGCAAAATATTCCAAATTTTCGTGCATGTTGTTTTCACTATCTTACGAATTGTGCTGGCGCCAATCAAATAGTTGTATGATAGTTCGTTGAAACTTGAGCCACTTGCTAGATACCTAAAGAAAAGTACCATTTAAGTACTACTATTTAAGTTTTTAATATTGCTAATATTACTACAAATTTAATACCTAGTTGTAATCTCTATTATTATATTATTGTTTATAAATGGTTTTTAGGAATAATGATACAACGAAGATGGAAAAATCTAAGGACGTGCTTTGCAAGAGAGTTGCTTGAACAAAAGTCGGTGAAGTCAGGGCAACCTGCCAGTAAGCGACGAAAGTACAAATTTTACGACCAACTTTTATTTCTTATACCAACCGTACAAGTACGTGAAACAAGTGGAAATGCTGAACTAAACGTAAGCGATGAAGAACGTGAGGAAACAGAGGATTTACAAAGCCCGCCTGTCATTCCTTCTCCACATACCACATCAAATTCAATGAAGAATAAGAAGATGAGTTATGAAGAAAAACTAATCCATATACTTGAAGCAAAAAAAAATGAAACTGCTCCACGCGTGGTTGACTCAGACACAAATTTTGCACTGTCACTTGTACCTATGCTGAGAGCAATACCCACACACCAAAAGATCGATGCACAAATTCAAATTCTTCAGTTACTAAAAAATTTCCAGAACAATTCACCACCAACGAACACACTTGATTTCAGTAGAAACTTTGCTAATTACTCCACTCCTTTGCATTTAATAACTGGTACATCTGCATCTATGAATCAACCCACCACTTTGAACCAAAACATACAACTTATTTCACCTCAAACTACCGACAGTGTACAGTCATACATATCAAATTTTTCAGCGTCTTCAGATGGATTAGAAACCACGGATGATATAAATGAACACTATTACTATTCTTAATTAAATATTGTATCTAATTTCATATAAAAAGTTATCTTTACTTTTATTAACTGTTTTTTTATTAATAAATAATGAAAAACAAAATATAAATTGTATTTATTTATACATCTCACCTCAATGTAACAGCGAGCCTCTCTTCTGGTGGAATCGCCAGTCGCATGTTTGTATTTTGGTAGGTGATGGCAGGTTTCAGAAATGTAATTAGCTCGTCAAATGAAGTTACACTCATGCGGAAATAACCAAAATATTTCTCTGGGTAACTTCTTAACTCTTCGAACATCAAATTAAATTTCCCTTTATTCATTCTTTCAGATATCAGTGGGTGAACCCAATATTTCCTTTTCCGTTGATTTTTCCTGTGTCGAATGATAAGAGCACAAACTACTGCAGTATCCAAAAAATCCATAACAGGTTAGGTGTACGTAATTGATGTTGAATATTGAAAATAGACGATTTAGATGTACGTGAACAAACGATGTGCACGCGTATTTATCGAATGCATAGTATACAGTAAATAGTTGATCGTCGTGTGCGCACTCTCACACTCCGAAGCAACTAGACAGCGACAAAGACAAAAAAGTTGGCAACAAAAAGTTGCTCGTGTGCGGCCGGCCTTAGGTACCGTGTCCTCTACAGAATTCGGATTGTTCAGGGTCCTCCCAGAACATCCGCCAGGTTATCGATAGATTAGATCCGAGACGCGGCTGTCTCGTTCCGTGCTCCGGGTTCTCCGGGGTCCGGTCCGACGACAGTCGCGTCGGTCGTGGCCCGTCTCGGCCCCGCGGTAACGCCGCGGGTACGATGCGGGCCGATGGTGCGTTCGCGCTGCCGTCCGAACTTTGCAAGGTTCGGGCGCTGGTGTGTCGTGCTAGCGGTTTGTCATCTTCCCCGTCCGCGGCGGGGTCGGTGACGGTCGGCGTCTTAGGATCGTGTGGCTTTCGCTGCGTACGCGGTTGGAACCCGTACCCATGGGTTGCGACTTCCTCGCAGTGGTAGATGTCAACGTAAGCGCGAAAGCGCTAACGGCTAACGGCAACCCATTTCCACCCATCGGCCCCTTCCGTTACGGCGGTTTGGGCGTTGCGTCCGAAGCAGGTGGCTTCTGACGGTAAACTATAAATTTATTATATGCTTGACTCGATTACGGCGGGGCGCCCGGCCCGGTGTCAGCCGTCCGGTCGCCCCGCCGAGTAAGAGATAACTCAGAACGATTATAGCAAATACTCGAAGATAAACCGAATCCGCGCGTCGCGGTCGCCTTCGCGGCAACTCCGACGCACGGTGCTGACTTCAGCTCGCAGACGTGTGGGTTGGGTCGGTATGCATCCGTCGCCGCTTCCGGCGTGGCGGGAGATGTGCGGTTTATACTCTGCGCAGAGGGGTCTGACCCGGCGATATCGCTCCTGGCGGTTTCGTCGGGTCTTTCTCTTTAGGCCTTTTTGCTGTGCCACTACGCGCTCACTTAAAATAGTTGGACCTCGGTCCGATGCTCTCGGTGAGTAGCGGTGGTGTGTCGAGGGGTCACGCACCCTGGATTCAGACACGACTGACCCTTGGCCTCGCTGTGCCTTGTATACTTCGCCATCCTTTGTTGCCCTCGGTTTCGGGGTCGGAGAGGTCGGAATTGAAACCGAACCCAGTGCCGACCCGAGAATTTCATCTCCTATACTAAATAGGGCCCACACCGATGGATTAAATCGCATTGAAAATTTCAGTCTGGAGTCTGGAATTTAAAACCTGGACTCTGAAAACGGCTATCCATTAAGATAGACGGGCCTTAAGGGCGCTAGACCGGGTTCACATTAATCTGTGGACCTTGAGGATTTTCGGGGAGCCTCCTCTCCGAAACTCATGAACTGGAAGTGGCCTTAATCAGCTGAACCAGGTTCGGTCCGGCAGCTGACACTGCCCCCGACTCGAAGAGGAAACTTGCAACTCCGTTAACCTCTTCAGAGAAAAACACCGGAGGACTTAAATGACCCTCGGGTGACTTGACCGTGTAACGGAAAGTCAGAGAACCGCCTAGGGTCTTAAAAGTCTCTAGGGGGAGGGGTTACCCCTGTTAATTTAACTATTAGTAGGGGTAACAAGCGGATCTGGCTTTGGTTAGCTGGATCAGACGCGCTCGGCAAGTCATTTAATATGACGGATAACCGAGGGGTCCTACATCGGATCTGCCTTGCGGACGCACAAGGGCGAGGAACATCCTTAATTGGATGTTACAGATACCTCCTAAGCTCAGGTACTTAGCTATGAGAATAGGTTGGCACGGAGGAGGTTAAAATACCGTGTCTATAGGGATCCCCCCCCCCTGGGAAGGGCGGGGGTATTAATTCCTTATTATGTCAGAGGGGCGCAGTGACATAATGGACTATATAGATCGTCCCCATCTCGTGGGAACTATATGGATAATTTAAATGGAAATGGAATAAAACAAACAGGACAGTTGGTAGAGGGGAAGACGGGAGAGTCTCCTTTCGTTTTTGTTGGAAACACTGTGTAGGAAACTCCCAGGTTGCCGACAAAGAAGCGAAAGGACGGCGAGGGCGAGGGCGTGGAGCAATTCTCCTATCGCGTCGGATCCATCGTGGATACGGTCAAGTTGCGGGATTACACCTGCACCTTGAGTCGCCGTGGGAGAGACTTGTCGGATGAACTTCTCAGGTTAATCATGGCGATGAAACTTGAGAAGGCGTCGATGACGAAGGTCCGGGAAGAAGCCTTCAAGAGAGCGAGATCCGGTCTCATGAACGTAATAGACGAGTTAGTCTATGCGCAAATGATGATGCAGGGGCGCCTTCTGGAGGCCAGACACCAACGGACCTCCCAGACGAGTTACAATAAGATTGTGGTCGACTTGACAAAAGAGTGTGGGGAAGTCACACCGGCGGCAACGCCGAGTGATGAGTACCTGCTCGAACGGAAAGATGACCGCATCATTGAGGAACTCATCGCCGCCGGGGAAGTGTTGATAGAGGATAGTGACGTAGAGCCACAAATGAAGTCAAAAAAGAGATAGAAGAAAAAGGATAAGGTGGGTTCACTTCCTGAACCCAAGTTGGTACCAGAGGCGTCGACCTCTAAGGGAAAGACGGGGGACACGATGGTCACTAAGGTTGTGGTAACACAGCCAAAGGTACCAGAGAAGAGCCCGTCAAAACCTAAGAAAGAGATAGTTACTAAAGGGAAAAAACGGGTGGAAACCCCGGTAGGTGAAAATCCTCCTGCAAGAGACTCAGAAAGCGAGGGCAAAGAAATTCGGTGGATATATTCTTAGAGTACCCAGCAAGCCTGAAAGTTGCCTTCGAGGCAACCGAGGCAGAACTGGTGAAGGCTCTTTGGGACGAGCTGGTGAAGAAGAAATGCTCGCCAAAATTCAAGTGGATTAAAAAGGTAGAAAGGGACAAGTTGTTTTAGAACCGGAGAATGAGGAGACGAGGAAACTTCTCCAAAACACTTCGCTGGATTTGCGTCCAGCGGGTGAGAGAAATCCTCGTATACAAATACACGGGGTCGGGATCGAGGTCGACGATGACGGGGTCGCCGCGTTGATGGAGGAGCAGAATGAAGATTCTGTGAATCTGCCGGCGGGGTGGAACCGGAGCGTTTCCCTCATTCAGCGGAGAGCGAGGATGACGAGAAGGGGACGTGACGTCGAGTTTGAGGTCACTCCGGAAGTCGCTGGCGCGCTTGTGGGCACGGTAGTGTTCGTTGGGCTGTCGCGGTGTCGGGTGAGCCCCAGCGTAGATGTGCGAAGATGCCACAGGTGTCAACGCTACGGACACGTTGGTTCGCTCTGCAAGGCGCCGTCGGTGGTCTGCGGGCGTTGCTCGGGCCCCCATCACGCTGTGCAGTGTGCCGCGCGTCCGGCAGAACAGAGGTGTGCTTGTTGCGCCTCCAGTGGCTGGGCGTGCGACCACGCCTCCGGCGACACCACGAAGTGTCGAACGTGGGATGTAAATTTCCGGCGGGAAGCCCGGAAATTTAGATGGGCTGTGTGAGAATAGGACAGGTTAACCTGGGACGGGGGAAACTGGCAACAGATGACCTGCTGTCCTAGGTAAGGGAGAGATGTCTGGATGTTGTGTTGATTCAGGAGCCCCACGTGACGAAGAGTGGAACGTTTGCTAGTCTCGGCAAACCTCCACTAAGCCTCATAACAGGCAACTTACCGGGAGAGAAACCAGCGGCTGCGTTGTTGGTGGTGAACCCTTTATTGGGGGCGACACTGATCACGCAGTTTAGCGGGACTCACACGGTAATAGTGGAAATCCGAAGCGGGAACAGGAGCCTCCACGTGGGCAGCACGTACTTCCAATTCTCTGAGAGAACTGAACTCCATGTCGAAAGACTGGAGAAAGTGATCCGTGAGTTGGGCGGTGCGGACTGGATCATAGGGGGTGACTTCAACGCTAGGTCTACACTATGGAATGACACACATATGGACGTGAAAGGTGAAACGGTAGGTGACATGATAATGGCCGGGGACATGATCTGCTATAATGTTGGTTCGACACCTACCTTCTACACTAGTATGGTATCCGCGATACTTGATCTGACGCTCGCGTCGGTAAGAGCCGCGGTGAAAGTATCTGGTTGGAGGGTGGTCGAGGACGCGATATCCAGTGATCATCGGCTAATATTATTCGACTATGATTGGGATGAGGTAGAGACGACGACAAGTACAAGTAAGAGGTTCAATGTCTGGAAAGCCGACTGGGACATATTTCGTCAAAAGCTGGCAGAGAAACTGTTTGACGGTCAATCTAGCTGGCTGGAGGGAGATATTGATTCCAGAGCGGATTACCTAACCTCGGCAATCAGTGGCGCGTGTAAGAAGTCGATGCCGTACGTGAGGGAGCGGGCGTTCGGGGCTAATTCGTGGTTCACGGAGTCTCATTAGGCGATAAGACCGAAAATTCGCAGGTCACGGGCCGAGGGATGCGAGGAAAGGACAGCCGCATTAGAGGAAGTCTACAGAAGGGAAAGAAATTAGTATACCGGAGGAAGGAGGAAAGAACAGATGCGGACCTGGCGAAAGTTTACTACCGAGGAGGGTAATGAGAAGCCATGGGGGTCCACCTACCGGTGGTGTAAGGAAGGCGCTAATACGGATTCTCGCGGCGTGCTTGCAACTCTCCACAAGGAGGGCAGCGGGTGCACTGCAGGTCTTGTGGACACGCTGGAATTAATGCTTAAAACTATAGTACCACCAGATACGGACGAAGGTGAAACCGAAGAACATGAAAGGATCCGCGAGGAGACTGGAATGCGACTCGGGGAAACTGGAGAAACGGACTGGTCGGGGACGAGCGATAGCGACCATACGGTAGAATTTTCTCAAGAGGAGGTAAGAAAGGCAATTTGGCGTATGAGAAGGGGACCGGGAGAGGACGGCATAACTTATTAATATCAATAGGTTTATATTAATGACTACAATTTTCAAATCACTATAGCCGCATATCTTAGAAACTCATTATTACGGACCTTTTATCCTTAGAACACAAAGTTAAATAACTCAATAATTACTAATACGAATTTTGATTTGTATGCGTAAAATATTTCAGAAAAATCATTTACTGTATAATATATAGTTGAATAGGGGTATTCTCATTTGAAAAAAAGAAATTTATATCACACGATACTCTTTAAGTAGTACTAAAAATCTCCACTATTTTAATAACTGCATTATTGAGGTAAAAAAGGAGGTACCTAAGCATGCTCGGGGACCCTGTATATGGCATATTTTTTCATTTATATATTGAGATAAACCATTGATACAAAAAAAATATTTATAATGATATTAGACTAATTTATATATTTATATAAATGATATTGTAGAACTATTGTAACTGATTTTACAACATATATTTTAAATTATTATGCACCCACGTATTCGATAAAAAAATAGATTTAAATTCAAACGTTACTATATTAATAATAACAATTGTACTTCTATCTATCTACTCTTGCTGTCTTTAAATGACAAGATGAATTACAATGAATTGAAATTTATTATTTTTTTTTTTTAAATTAGAAGTGCTTAAGAAACTTTTTTAAATGATACATTGCGATAACCATCTATACAAATAATGCATAGTAAATTACAAAACTACATAGCGTGGAAAGAAAACAAAAAAAAATGTTTATAAAAGAAGCCTTTCATTAGTGACATTTCAAAAAAACATCTATTTTTAAGTTACTAAAGACTGAATAATAAATTACCAAACAATAATATTGTAAAACTATTATTTGGATAACAGAATTACTGACTGGTTTTATAACATATATTTTAAATTATTATGTACCTAACCAAAAAGATAAATAATTAAATTTAAATGATATTGTAGAGTATGTTTCTTAGGTGTATTGTCATCAAAATTTGAATGCAAGAATGACTTGAGATAGGGTGATGCACTGTCCCCAGTCCTGTTTAATCTAGCTCTGGAAAAGGTGGTGAGTGCTTTATCAGACATCAAAGAAATGAAAATAATAGGACCTAGGGTACATTACTTCGCCTATGCAGACGATATTATTTTATTAGGAGAATCTAGAAACAAGGAAGATAATAAAATTTAGCTGTAATAAGGGACTAGTAATCAACGAAAACAAGACAAAATATATGGTGATGACTAGGAATGTAAATGTAAAGGATAATCTATGCATTGAATGTCTTACTTTCTAGCAGGTAGGGGACTTCAAGTACTTGGGGGTTAACACAAACGAAAAGAATAATATGCGCAATGAAATTAGGATGAGACTGAATGTAGCAAACAGATGTTACTTTACAATGAAAGACATGTTTTCCTCCAGGTTACTGTCCAGGCGTACAAAGGAATGCCTAAACTGTACGTACTTGAAACCGTAGTAACGTACTCATGGGAGACGTGGTCTAGCACTCAAGAAGACGAAGAAAGGCTACAGAGTTTCGAAAGGAAAATACTCAGGAAAGTGTATGGACAGGTATATTATAATGATATGGAAAGTTTTCAACGAAGAACTAATGAAAACTTGCAACAGTTGTACAATAAGCCGAGCCTATCAGATTTCTTAGCCAGAAGAAGGCAGGAATAGGCGGAACACGTTTGGCGGAGCAGAGGAATCACTCATTAAGAAAGTCACAGAAAAGACCAAGAGGTAGACCTCGGCAGAGATAGTAGGATAGAGTAAAGAAAACTCTGAAGAAAATCAATCCATCGCTGGATATGTAAGTGGCATTGGAAGAGCGTGTAAGAAGCGGCGACTGTTCTAAATGGACCGCTAAGCCCTAGAAGAAAAAAAATATATATTTTTGGCATTAAGATACGTTTCTACTATGAGATTATTTCTTGAATACTATCCCAATCAAAGAAAATGGAGTAAAAATGCATTGCCTACAAAGTATAGTTTAACATGAATTAATTTTTGTAATATTTTATCAACTACATATATTGCAATGCTTAAATATTTCATTATAGAGAAATTGAGTTAAAGTCTTGTATAAATAATGAAAAACATGGAGATGAATGTACGAACAAGACAACGATTTGATAAAGGTAAAGAATTGGACGAGTGGTTGGACCTGTTGATGAGTTAAGTTAACGAACCTAATGCTTCCTCGAAGAATTTTTTAGTAATTATTTAAATTTATTTTTTTTTTGTGTGTGTATTATCATTTATCATGTTCGAATTAAATTTTTGCAGAAAATATTTGGTACATATCTATACTTAAAGAGAATTTAGGATGAACATAATCGGCCGATTCATCTGATATTCATATCAAACGACGGAAAATATTATCTCCAATATGTTGAAGTTCATAAAAAAATTCCAAAAGAATCGGTTGAGTTTTAATCGCTTAACCCGTGTAGGCCAATTATCCCGCAAAAAAATGATCAAAATTCTAATAAAAAAAGCCGGTTTCAACAAATTTTGTTATAAAAGGTGAACCTGATAGTTAAACGGACTTAAAAAAAGGTAGGACACGATAAAAAAAATTGGAAAGGTTTAACCATTTTTGAAAAGGTAGAAAAATCAAATTTCGACAAAAATACGTGTTTAATCATATGTTGACAACTAAGTCATAGTATCGTGACCCCAAGAACGCCGTTGATTACAAATTGTTCAATAATCGGCCGATTCATCTGATGTTTCATTCATTTTGTATATATTCAAAATAAATATGCCGAAGTAGTACTCTTTCAAATCAAACTGCAATTCGTCCAATAGTTGTTAAGTGAAAAGATTATCACTTCCTGGCACTGATGAATATAAATTTCTTTCTTTGCCATCTTACCAAGAAACTCTCCAAAAAAAAAAAAACTGAAGATACAACCCTCCCTCATATTGATAGTCAGACAATTGTTTCTTCAGAAAATTAAAATGTTACTGAAACTGAAAATTGTTCTATTTCTAACAGTATTCTGATCCGTTGGTTTTTCAATCTAAGTTAACTTCTTTCATTATATCATCAAAACTTCAGATAAGCTATGCCAATCAAATTATTGAAATTGCTGAAATCGATAGATAACTTACAATGTCTAAGGCCCGTTCTTACAATGTCCGGTAAAGTGTCGGTTAGCGCTAACCGGAGGTTATACTGACATTTAACGGACAGTTGGTTCTTACATACGTCGGTTAAGCAAAAAGCCTCCGGTTACCGGATGTTTTACGGCCGGATTTTTAACCGGCCGAATTCGGCCGGTTATCCTCCGGTTATCAAAAATCTGTCGGTTTGTATTATCAATAATACTCTTTATCATCATTTGATTTTTGATTTTTGTTTAAAATTCGACGTTAGACTGTTGGAGTTTTCACGTAGTATAGTGTATACATTTTTGTTGTTTTTTGTTTGAATTAACAATTCATTATGAATAGAGTTCTTCATAACTACGGTTTAATTGACCAAGAAAGTGATTCTTCCGACTTTGAAAATGAAATGGTAGAATTTAACGTTGCAATTCGGAAAGAGAAAATTTTTAGAGAACGCAAAAATTACTTCGAGTTATTAGACGAAGTAGAGTTTCAGAAACGATTTCGTTTGAAGAAACAAACAGTAAAGATGATCCTGGAAGAATTAATTGATCAGATAAAATATCCCACCAACAGGTAATTTGGCATACTATTATAATAAATTAAAGTAACAATTTGTAATAGTGTTAAAAACCAACTTTTCAGAAATAATGCCATTTCTCCAATGACGCAATTGTTATTAACATTGAGGTTTTTTGCAACGGGGAATTTTCTAATTACAGCCGGTGACTTTAGTGGTGTTAGCGTTGCAGCTGCTGGACAAATTGTAAAGCGAGTCAGTTATGCATTAGCTACAAAAAGTGATAAGTAAATA